GGTCCGGGAAGATCCCACATGCCACAGAGCAACTAAGCTCGTGCGTCATATGAGCCTGTGCTCTAGAGCCCACAAGCCACAACTACTGAGTCCACATGCCACAACTACTGAAGCCTGCACGCTTAGAGTCCATGCTCCACAACAATAGAAGCCACCGCAATGAGAAGCCCGTACACTGCAACGAAGAGTAGCCCCCACTCGCTACAACTAGAGAAAGCCCACACGCAGCAACAAAGACCCAACGCAGCCAAAAATAAATTAATTAATTAAACAAACAAACAAACCAAAAAACGAAGTGCTTTTCTTTTTCATATTCCACAAGTACTACATGTCCATATGGAAAAAAATCAAAACATACACAAAAATGTAAAGAAGATTTAAAAAAAAAATCTGTGGTAACCCCACACACAGATATAGCCACTGGTCACATTATGCTGTATGGTAATTGCAGCCTTTTTCCCCTATATTCGCACCACTCTTACTGGCATTCTGCCAGGAGCAGCCCGGCACGTCTGTGGGCTCTGATGCACAAAAGCATGGCAGAGAGAAGAAAAAGTTGAAACAACTCTGCCACCTGCTGCCCGACCCGTTCTCCTAAGCAGCTTTTTGGCTTTTTAAAGCTCTTGTTCTTTTTAAAATGCCTATTGTTTGTATTTTTCTAATTACAAAGATAATATGTCCTGGCTATAAAAATTCAAACAATAGAGAAGCGTATGAAGTCAGACGTGAAAGTCCCCCTTCCACAATCCTACTCCCCAGAGGTACCGCTATGATCAGTTCAGTGTGTATTCACACAGATTTTCTTCTATGCCTTTATATACATACATGATTCATTCATTCCATCATTCAGAAAAATGTTTCTTTAGGGCCTCCTATATGCCGGGTTAGACGCTGGGCTTGGAGCTGTGAAAAAAACAAAACCTCTTCCTTTTTGGAACTTGCATTTTAGTGCAGACAGACAGGCAGTAAACAAATTAACAAAAAATTCATAATATGCAAGGTGATGATATGGAGAAAGTAAGACAGGATAAGAGAGCTGGGGAGTGCCCAGCAGGGTGGAGGCGGGTCGCTAGTTTACAGACGGTGGAGAAGCAAGGTTCTCAGAGAAGGTGACACTTGGGAAGGGCCCTTAATTAAGTGGAGGCAACCGATGTGGTTATCTGGGGCAAGAGTGAAGACCTGAAGCAGAAACAGACTTGAGAAACATCAAGGGGACTTACTGGCCGGAATGGAGTGACCCGAGGGGAAGGGTAATAGGAGACAAGGCCACAGAGATCACAGGGATGGGGTAGGGGCAGGTGACCCTAGGCCTGAAGAAGCAAAGAGAGGAAACAGCATTACAGGAACCCCAAGAGAGCTGGAACTATGGAGGAAGGACCCTGTGATAACAGCCACTGGAGGGTTTTGAGGAGAAAAGAGGAGGAACATGGTCTAACTTAAGCGTTTTAAAGGCTCACTCCAGCTACTGTTTTGAGAATAGACTGTATGAGGTTAGAGTAGAAGCAGACAAGTGAGTAAAGGTAGAAACAGAGGTCTGAGGCTGGGGGCACTCCAATGTTTAAAGGTGAGAAGGTGAGGAGGAGCCAGCTAAGGAGACTAAGGCATGGCCAGTGAGGTAGGGAAAAAAAAGCCAAGGGGAGGGGGGCGGAATGTTGATTTGGAAGCTAAGGGAAGAAAGTCTATCAAGGAAGTGGAGTAATTCACTGTATCAAATGCCACTGATGGGTCAAGGAAGATAAGACTTGAAAACTGACGATTGGATTTGGAAACATGGAGGTCACTGGGGAATGTGGAGGCCGTGGGAGAGCATGGAGGTCATTGATGACCTTGATACGAATATGGAATGTGGGAGCAAAAGCCTGATCTTGGTGGGTTCAATAGAGAATCATGGCAGAAATTGGAGACTTATTTTTGCAAACACTAGAAAAAGAGTAGAATGAGAGGGAAAAATGTAACAAGAACTCCACCTGTAGAGCAGGTAGTTCTTCCCCAAATATGGAACTCAAAAGGTAGGGAATGAAAGGGGGTGGAGGACTGTTTTACAGGAGACAAAAGAGACAACTAAATGCAATACATGATTCTCGACTGGAGATCAGAATGAAAAGATAAGAAAAAGTATTATGAGACAGTTTAGGAAATCTTAGTTTGGACTGTTTGTTATTAATATTTCATCAATGTTAAATGTTTCAGGTGTAATTATAGCACTGTGCTTATGTAGGAGAATATCTTTGTTCTTAGAAGATACATGCTGATGTATATAAGAGTGAAGTGCTGGTAAAATGTCTGCAATTTACTTTCAAGTGTCCCACAATTTACACCCACACGCACCCACATACATAAAGAGGTAGACCAAATGTGTCAAAATGTCTTGGGTCATCTGCATCAGAATTCTCTGGGATATTTCTTGAAAATACAGATTTCTGGGATCCTTCAACTCTCTTTCCCTTTTTTCCACTTGCGTATTATTGCAAATATTTGTATATATTTAACTGTTTAAAAGGCTTATGAAGATTACAAAAGTAATACCTAGTAGCTGTAAGGAATAAAAACCCCTCAAACATTAAAGAAGTACAAAATGAGAACATCTCTATCCCCTCAACCTCCCCAGAGGTCATACCCACTGTCAATGGCTTCTTGTGTTTTCTTACAGACTTTACTTGTTCACATATACATATCTTTGACTTTCTTTCCTTTTTTTTCTTTTTACACAAATGGGATTATAGTATGCATATTGTTCTGTGTCCCCCTTTTTTCTTCACTTAATATTATATCTCAAAGATCTCTACATGTGTTAAGATAGGCTCAAGGACGTATTGTACCATGCAGGGAATATAGCCAATATTTTGTAATAACTGTAAATGGGAAGTAACCTTTAAAAATTGTATTAAAAGAGACTTCCCTGCTGGTCTAGTGGTTAAGACTCCGCACTCCCAATGCAGAGCGCCTGGGTTCAATCCCTGGCCAGGGAACTAAATCCCACATGCTGCAACTAAAGATCCCACATGCCATAACTAAAGATCCTGCATGCCGCAATGAAGACTCCACACACGGCAATGAAGATCCTGCATACCACAACTACGATCCAGCACAGACAAATAAATAAATATATAAATATTTTTTAAAAATTGTATTAAAAAAGATTTTTCCATGTGGATACATAGAGGTCTTCCTGCTTTTTATTGGCTTTTTAGCCAAAAAAAATCTTCCTTTGAAAGATCCACCATAATTTATTTATCCAAATATCTATTGATAAATTATCAGGAGCATATAACAATTGTAATTATTTATGCACCCAGCATTGGAGCACCTAAATAAATATATAAGGCAATATTAACAGATCTGAAGGCAGAAATAGACAGTAATATGATAATAGTAGAGGATTTCAATACCCACTTTCAACAATGGATAGAGTATCCAGACAGAAAAATCAATAAGGAGACCTTGGACTTAAACTACACTTTAGACCAGTTGAACCTAACACACATACAGAGCATTCCATCCAAGAGCAGCAGAATACACATTTTTATCAACTGTACATGGAGCATTCTCCAAAAGTAGATCATGTTAAGTCATAAAATGTCTTAATACAGGGGCTTCCCTGGCAGCGCAGTGGTTGAGAGTCTGCCTGCCGATGCAGGGGACATGGGTTCATGCCTCGGTCCAGGAAGATCCCACATGCCATGGAGCAGCTGGGCCCGTGAGCCATGGCTGCTGAGCCTGCGTGTCCAGAGCCTGTGCTCCGCAAAGGGAGAGGCCACAACAGTGAGAGGCCTGCAAACCACACACACACACACACAAAAAAAAGTCTTAACACCTTTAAGAATACTGAAAGCATATCCAGCATCTTTATGGACCACAATGGTATGAAGTTAGAAATCAATTATAAGAAGAAACCTGGAAGATTCACAAATATGTGGACATTAAACAACTCGCCCTTGAATAACCAATGGGTCAGAGAAGAAATCAAAAGGGAAATAAAAAATATCTTGAGACAAATGAAAATGGAAACACAACTTTCCAAAACTTATGGGATACAGCAAAAACAGCTCTAAAAGGCAATTATAGTGAAAAACACCTACATTAAGAAAAAAAGAAAGATCTCATAAACAATCTAACTTTACACCTTGAGGAACTAAAAAAAGAAGAAAAAACTAAGCCCAAAGTTATTAGAAGGAAGGAAATAAAAAAGATTAGAGAGGAATTAAATAGAGCCTAAAAAGATAATAGAAAAGATCAATGAAATTAAGAGCTGGCTTTTTGAAAAGAAACAAAATTGACAAACCTTTAGATAGACTAATTAAGGAAAAAAAAGACTCAAATAAATAAAATCAGAAATGAAAGAGGAGACAGTACAACTGATAACACAGAAGTACTAAGGATCATAGGAAACTACTATGAACAATTATATACCACAAATTAGATAACCTATAAGAAATGGTTAGACTCCTAGAAATATGCAACCTACCAAGACTAAATCATAAGAAAATAGAAAATCTAAACAGGCTAATTACTAGTGAGGACATTGAATCAGAAAAAAAAAAAACTCCCCCAAACAAAAAAGTACAGGACCAGATGGCTTCACTGGTAAATTCTATCAAACATTTAAAAAAGAATTAATACCAATCCTTCTCAAACTCTTCCCAAAAAATTGAAGAGGAGAGAACACTTCCAAACTCATTTTGCAAGGCCAGCATTACCCTGGTACCAAAGCTAGAAAAGGACACTACGAGGTAAAAGATCTGTGCACTCAAAACTATAAGACATTGATGGAAGAAAGATGCTTAATATGCTTTCAGTCTTCTTAAATGAATTAAGACATTTTATGACTTAACATGATCTACTTTTGGAGAATGCTCCATGTACAGTTGATAAGAATGTGTATTCTGCTGCGCTTGGATGGAATGTTCTGTATATGTGTGTCAGGTTCAACTGATCTAAAGTGTAGTTTAAGTCCAAGGAGACACACAAATAAATGGAAAGATATTCCATGTTCTTGCATTGGAAAAATTAATATTGTTAAAATGCCCATACTATCCAAAGCAATCCACAGATTCAATGTAATCCCTATCAAAATTCCAATGACGTTTTTCACAGGAATAGATAAAGCAATCCTAAAATTTATTTGGAACCACAAAAGACCCCGAATATCTAAAGTGTTTTGAGAAAAAAGAAGAGAAGCTGGAGGCATCATACTTCCTGATTTCAAACTGTGTTACAAAGCTGTAGTAATCAAAACCATATGATATTGGCATAAAAACAGACACATAGATTAATGGAACAAAGCCCAGAAGTAAACCCATGCATGTATGGTCAATTAATTTTTGACAAAGGAGTTAAGAATATACAATGGGGATGGGTTATCTTAAAGAGTCCTTAATAAAGTCCATAAGGCTTGCTGAGGCTTTTTAAAAAACTATATTCCCAATGAGATAATTAGAGGGTGGCCCTTAAGTCTATGTCTAGGTTGACAGGTTTTGCAGGGAAGACGAACTTGAGAAGAGTGGAGGTCCTGAGAGTGTAAGTACATCGAAATTAGAAAAAAAAATAATAAAGAGAATTAGGAAAACTTTGGACTTCAAAGGTCATAGATTACTGAGTCAGACCTGAGATTTCTAAGGATTTATATATGCAGTTGATATTTGGATTACTTGTTGATAAAGGTAAGTGGAGAAACTAGAGTTGTTTCCAAGTGTAGGTAAGATATAATGAGAGGATGGAGGTGGAAAGTAGGGAGACCCAGAGAAAAGTGGGAAGGTCATATTGGGCCAAGATGGTGGTAATATCCAGCACAACAGATGGTAGGGCAGACTAAAAAAAAAAAAAAAACAATGGGGAAAGGATAATCTCTTCAATAAATGGTGTTGAAAAAACTGGATAGCCACAGGCAAAAGAATGAAATTGGACCCTTATCTTAAACCATACATAAAAATCAACTCAAAATGGATTAAGGACTTGAATGTAAGACCTGAAACCATAAAACTCCTAGAAGAAAACCTAGGGGGGGTATGCTTCTTGACACTGATCTTGGCAATGATATTTTGGATTTGACACCAAAAGCAAAAATAAATAAGGGGGACTACATCAAACCAAAAAGCTTCTCACAGAAAAGGAAACCATCAAAAAAATGAAAGTGCAACCCACAGAATGAGAGAAAATATTTGCAAACTACATATGTATTAAAGGGTTAAATATGCAAGTAACTCATACAACTCAGTAGCAACCCCTCTCCCCCAACCCACCAATAACCCAATTTTAAAATGGGCAAAGGACCTGAATAGACATTTTCCCAAAGAAGACATACAAATGGCTAACAGGTATGTGAAAAGGTGCTCAACATCACTAATTATCAGGGAAATACAAATCAAAACCACAGTGAGATATCACTTCACATCTGTTAGGATGACTATTGGCAAAGAGACAAGAGATAACAAATGTTGGTGAGGTGATGGAGGAAAGGGAACCCTTGTACACTGTTGGTGGGAATGCAAATTGGTATAGCTACTATGGAAAACAGTATGGAGGTATATGAAGGAAACAAAACCATTATCTAGAAGAGATATCTGTACTCCCATGTTCATTGTGGTATTACGTACAATGGCCAAGGTATTGAAATGACTTAAGTGTCCATCAACAGATGAATGAATACAGAAAAGTGATATCTATATACAACAGAATATTACTCAGCCTTAAAAAAAGAAGGAAATCTGCCATTTGCAGCAACATGGATAAAACTGGAGGGCATTCTGCTAAGTGAAATAAGCCAGAAAGACAAATACTGCATGGTATCACTCATACGTGCAATCTTAAAAATAAAAAAGTTGAACTCATAGAAATAGATAGTAGAATAGTGGTTGCCAGGAACAGGGAAGTGGGGAAATGGGGAGGGATTGGTAAAAGGGTACAAGATTTCAGTTATAAGATGAATAAGTTCTGAGGATCTAATGTATAACATGGTGACTCTAGTTGATAATACTGTATTGCATAATTGAAATTTGCTAAGAGAGTAGGACTTAAGTTTTCTTGCTGCCCCAAAAAATAAATAAGTGAAATAAAAGTTCACTATACGAGGTGATGGATGTCTTAATTAACTTGATTGTCAGACTCCTTTCACAATTTATGTATGTCAAATCACCACACCGTACACTTTAAATATATTACAATTTTATATGTCAATTTAGCTTCAATAGAGCTGGAAAAAGAGAAGCAAACACATACACACACAAATGTCTATTGATATTTGCAAGCTCATGCTTTGTAAGAAAAAGCTTAATGAAGCTACATTTTTCCCATACAGCAAATGACAGGGAGAAAAAATTGCCCAAAGTGAGAAAGGTAGTAAAAACACATCTGTTTATTTAAAGATCAATGGAAAGGGAGAGAATGAGCTACACCCCCTCCCCTGACCTCCATCATTATGTTCATTATGTATGACTGCACTTCAAGGACATTGCAGGCCAATCGGAGTGGAGCCTGGGACTCATTTTGGAGCTCTATTCGTTGTTTGAGGAGGACCGGCCGGGTAAGGAGTGCAGAGTGGAGAAAGGATATTCAGATTTGTGCCACAGTGGGGGAAAAGTTTCTCCTCTTTCAATGAAAGAAATAATTACAAACCACCAGCAACAAACAGATCTTCTGAAGACCTTTTAGACCCTGGCTTATTTTTGCACAAATCCTGATCCAACGACTTGCCTGCTGATAAGGACGAAATCAATCTGCAATATCTGTCAGTGCAACTCTTTACCTAGGAATTACTAGGAAGCTTTATTTCTTATTTGGTGCCGTGATCTATCTGGTTGGCATATTTGGGAAGAACAAACTGGACATGCTTGGTTTAAAAAAAAATACTGAGAGGCAATAGAATTTTTCCTCTATACCAGAACCTGAGCAAACCTAAGGATTTCAACAGTTGGTTTCATGTCATTCAGCTTTCTCCCTGGCATATGGTGAGAGGCTTTTTGTTGTCATGAAGCAAACAAAATAGATAATCCTGAGCAGAAAGAAGAAAATTCTCCAGATCATCTAAGGGGCTCAAACTTTCATCATGATCTGATTTTGAATTCGCATTACCCCTACTTTACCTAAGACAAGGGCCTTTGCTGTACTTCTCACCAGAAGCAGCAGTCTCTTTTTTGAGATTTCTATTTCAAAGATGAAATCAATGGTAAGACGGCTTTGCTCTTTTGGTAGCAGAGTTGTGCAATCTTCCTCAACTCTGCAGCTGGAAAGCTGCGCTGTGAATGAGGTCCTGCCATCTCCCCAGCAGGTCCCTTCAACTGGCCTCAGGGAATTCAGAGGAGCCACAGGATGGGGAAGCCCTGGAATTTGCTCCCTAGTCAGAGAATCCCACGTGAGCTGGTTTTGATCTGCAGGATTGGAAACAGTGACCATGAGAGTAGATGGACATAAATTCTACTTGAATTGTGTCAATAATTGGTAAAGAGACCATTCATGGTATCTGCTTGCAAGAATCTTTGCCCAAGTTGATGAGATCAGCTATCTTTTCCGTGAAATTGTGATGATCACCTGCTGATGTTGCTGGAAGCTAGTTGGTATGTTAATATGTGACTTGGCAGAAAGGCAAAGGGGGTGCTTCCCTGGTGGCACAGTGGTTAAGAATCTGCCTGCCAATTCAGGGGACACAGGTTTGAGCCCTGGTCCGGGAAGATTCCACACGCCGTGGAGCAACTAAGCCCGCGAGCCACAACTACTGAGCCCACGTGCCACAACTACTGAAGCCCATGTACTTAGAGCTTGTGCTCCGCAACAAGAGAAACCACCACAACGAGAAGCCCGAGCACCACAATGAAGAGTAGCTCCCGCTCGCCGCAACTAAAGAAAGCCTGCGTGCAGCAACAAAGACCCAACGCAGCCAATAAATAAATAAATAAAATTTTTAAAAGAAAAAAGAAAGGCAAGGGGGGCAATACCAAGATGTCTCAAGAATGGACTAGTTGATTCCAGGAAGAATCAGAGGCCAATCATTAAAATGATCTTCTAATAGGAAGCTATCAACAAGTTCCCCACTTAGGTACTTTCCAAGAAAAGAGGAGTTACAAATAACAACAAGAAGCATTCCATTCAGATTCTGCTATTGCATACATTCCTTCCAAACCTGGAGTTTTGTTTTTGTTTGTTTTGCCCTAGGAAGAAAAATTTAAAGGAGAGTCTAGACATCATTCAAACATCCACCCTAATTCTGCTGGTACTAAATCCTAATATAAGGTGTACTGAGTTAAATAGTGCCCACCCCCAATTCATGTCCTCTCAGAACTTGACCTTATTTGGAAATAGAGTCTTTGCAGATACAATTAGTTAAGATGAGGTCATACTGGATTAGGGTAGGCCCTAAGTCTGAAGTCCGGTGTCCTTATAAGAAGGTTGTGTGATGACACAGGCACACACAGGGAAGAGAGCCATGTGAAGCTGGAGGCAGAGACTGGAGTGATGCAGCCACAAGCCAAGGACTGCTGGCCACCAGGGGCTAGGAAGCAGCCAGGACTGCCAAGGGTTAGCAGCAACTACTAGAAGCTAGGAGACAAGCATGGACCTGATTCTCCTTCAGCACCTCCAAAAAGGGGCCTACCCTGCTTACACTTTGACTTCAGACTTCCGGCCTCTGGAACCGCAAGAGAATCCATTTCCGTCATTTCAAGTCCCCCACTTTGTGGAAATTTATTACGGCAACCCTAGGAAATTAATGCATAAGCTGAGATATTTGGGGAGAATACTACTGTCTGATGAATAAGCCACTTCAACATTCCCCTCCCCCCTTTCTGCACTCATCTGACAACACCTTTTTTTAAAAAATAAATTTACTTATTTATTTTTGGCTGTGCTGGGTCTTTGTTGCTGCACGCGGGCTTTCTCTAGATGCGGCGAGCGGGGGCTACTCTTTGTTGAGGTGCACAGGCTTCTCATTGCGGTGGCTTCTCTTGTTCCAGAGCATGGGCTCTAGGCGCATGGACTTCAGTAGTTGTGGCACACAGGCTCAGTAGTTTGGCTCGCAGGCTCTAGAGCACAGGCTCAGTAGTTGTGGCGCACAGGCTTAGTTGCTCTGTGGCATATGGGATCTTCCTGGACCAGGGATCGAACCCATGTCCCCTGCATTGGCAGGCGGATTCTTAACCACTGCACCACCAGGGAAGTCCCTGAT